CAATAATTTCGAAATAAGAAAATTGAAACCTGTAATTTTGACGGGTACAGTTATAATGTTAATAATAATATAATTTATGGAGATAAGAATTGTTTAAATGAAAAATAAATTATAATTTTTGGAGTGTCATATGTAGCGGAATGGAAAATTGTACAAATTTTTTGGAAAAGATAATAGGAAAATGTTAGTATACAAATTTTGGTAGATATCATATTAAAGCTTAATGAATATGCAGTTTCATAACAAGAATTAATCGTTTTCTTTTTTACAAAAACCATAAAATTTTCTGAAGAATCTAATATTTTAATCAGTAATAGGTAACTTACTTTTTTAATGTGAAGGTGGTATATATTTTTGCTACGAATTTGTATTTATAGCGTAATGAAAACTCATGTTACGACTGAAATTTGAAAATGCATAGGAACTATGTGTATTCAGCGATATATGCGAATTAAAAAGTTATTAATAAATTTTTAAAGCATAGAAATCATTAAGTCGTATTAAATAAAAGTATAGATGAACCCTTAACACGCATCATTCCTTGAAATTTCTTGATTTATTCAATGCGCTCTCCATACGATTTTGTATTCGAGATTAATAATGATACGCTTGTCATTTCGATGTAAATTTAATTCGATGGGACGTCCAGACGAATATATCTGTCACGGCGTTACCGTTTCTGAACACACTGAGAGACAGATAACACGTGTCGCCGCCACCTAAATCGAATTTTGTGCTCGCTGCTCGTGCGACGACAGCAAGCGTGTAATAAAAAGACAGAAAATTTCAACTGGTCTCCCTACAGTCAAAACGATTCGAGAAACAATTACAATTGAAAAATTAATGAAACTGTCGCGTTCCGAAAATTGTCTGTTATAAAATTCAGATATAAAGTTAGATTATTATTATTTTAGACAAGATATACAGATACAATTTTCGAATTTATTTTAATGCCATCGTATACTGTATGTAATACATTATTTAACATATAGCTTTAATATTTAGTGCAACTTTTTTATTACGAACTTTAATATTTAATATAACTACTTTAATATAAAGTATTAGTACTGTTTAATAATTAGATCGATTGGTTAAACTTTTAAAGGCACTATCTTGTTTACTATTTTCACTATAATATTTTATAATTACAAATTAAACAGTCGTCGTTCAATTCGTATAAGGTTGCAAACGAATATTTTTGTAATTATATAATAAACTATAGTACATGTATAAAAAACTTTTTATAAATATCTATCAAATATTTTATTGTATTTTTTTATAAATGTCTATTAAATGAAGTAATCAGAGATTTATAAGTATCTAAAAAATATTTGGGACCATTTTATGTCAGAATTAATATACAGATGAGCAAATGTTAGGAATTACAATTTTTCAATAAAATAGTATTACCAGTAAATATAATTCATCGACAAAATTTAAACTAAACTACACTTGGATAAAACAATTGAAGAAAAGGAAACGCTTCTACAGTTTCTTCGAAGGAACTATAATTTTCATTTTTGTATATTCTGGTAAGTGCAATATTGTGGTAAAACTCAGCAAGAAATTCAAGTCCCGTCGCAACGGCATCAAGAGATTTTTCTGCAGAATCCTGTTATCAATCTCTTATTAGATCGTTACGAACCTTCTCAAGGCATTCTCCTCGTTTTTATTCGTTGCGTTTTACATTCCTCGTTTTTACCGATTTGCCTCTTTATTGCTACGCCTCCAGGAACAATGCTAAAAGTAACGGCATTGCTCTTCCACAAACTCGCGGACTGTTATACATAAAACGGAGAATAAGTCTTGCTTCCACTACGGAAAATCTAGTTCACTATTTGCCTCCTTTCTGTATGCACCACGAAAGAAGAAATATTGAGAATGTTTCGAACTATAAAGAATTTGATGTAAATATTCTCATATTTGCGTATTATTTGTACCAGTTAGTAACGAACAGTTTTTGATAAAATCCTATTTTACCGAAATACAATATCCAATAGTTTATAATTAAACTATTACAAATTTTATTTCATTTTTTATCTACCTCAGCTTTTTAATAGAAACAATAAAATTGTAATTGGTTTTCTGGTATAACCTAACCTAATCACATTTCTTATAGTTTCTCACTATTCAAGTCTGCTATACCGGAACAATACCACCACCTTATTAACACTTTGACTACCACGTCGCCAGAATTAATTAAATTAAACTTAAATATTAATTTTTTTGGTAACGTATCGAACAAACCAAATTTTGTTAGATACATGAGATATAAGAAAGATAGTAGATCAATCGTTATAAAGAATCTTGATTGTTGAGTTTCTGCTTTATTAAGAAAACTGTTTCAACTGTACAAAAGTTTAGGCATGTTTAAGCAACGTAATACAGGACCCCTAAACGTACACAAAGAAACTGAGTCACTAAGTACCTGCAATCACAAACTACGAAATGTAAAACAAAAGTAGCTCCAAATGAACTCATTTCAAATCAGTAATCCATCGCACATTCTAACTTTTCTTGAAGCGCAAGGATAGACACAACGTTCCATTAAAAAGCAAAAGTAGTTCATGAAGTTACGAGGTCATTGAAAAATACATTCGATAAGGGTAAAGCTTGAGATTTTTACGATGATAATCACAAGGCATAACCCTGCTAACTGTCCAGTTTTGACGTAGTCATCTCGGTATCCTAACACTTCCCGGAATAATTCAAGGACGCACGGCAGGAGGACGCTTTTAAAAACCTCGTCTAAAACTATTAGGGCGGGAAATGTGGAGGGTTTCGGGCCGTATTTCTGAAGAATGTCCCCTCGGCTTGGTCTCGCCGCGAAGACGCCCCTCGTATCAGGTACCCGCGCCACGAACGGTCCCCGCTTTATCTAAATGACGTGTTTTCGTCCTTCCTTATCTTGAAGAGACTCCAATACATTCGGCTCTCTGTGCGTCCTCAGATACACACGACAGGACGCTCCTGACCCGCTATTAACATTCCGAGCGCGGTTTCCATCTCGCATTTTCCCTTCCAATTTCTTCGACGCTTCGACCTCTGGGTCCGTGAGAGATGCAACGTCGAACCCGGAAGGATAGATCTCTTTTGACTTGCTTTCTCGGTGAAATTGAATTAATTTTACTAGGGAATTCAGTTAACACTAGAACTGCCGTAAGTGAAAATGGCTGGTTTCGGTCTTTTATTTCGCCATTATTGATATTTTCAAAGCACTGAATATTCGAAATGATTTTGAAAATAAATAGTTTCACTTGAATACTATAATGAATGGACTCCTTAGTCTCAAAAAATTCAGTTTCTAACATCTAAGTACGTATTTTAACACTAGAACTACTGCATCCGGCAAATTAACAGCTTTCAATGTTCTTATTTCGCAATTATTGATATTTTCAAAGCATTGAATATTTGAAATGATTTTGAAAATAAATGGTTTCATTTGAATATTATAATGGATGTCTGAAGAAACTGAAAATTATCTATTGTTATAATTTTTATAGTGTCGCAATCTCTTCTCGACGTGTTATTCTGTTGTTTTTCGCTGGTCAACTACCAACTGACTCTCGTCCTCTCCTGGCAATCGTATTTGGCAACACTCACACATTCTTTCATTCTTCGTACACCAATCCTTCGCATCTTTCGCCTGTCGCTCTATCCCATTCGTTCTCACTCATTCGGTGCCCATCTCGTACTCATTCAAACATTCACTCGCTACAATATGGATTACACATCAATCGTATTAAATGCTCAGTAGTTCTGGCGTTAAAGGTTATACTCCCTGTTGCTTTTCTCATTTCATTTTCAATGCTAATTTGGTATTCGTAAATACGGTTACATATACCCAATCGGAACTTTAAACAACATATATATACCTAGTGAGATAACGAGAGAAAATATCACTCTATTTTAAGAAAGATTTATTTTATATTATAGATGGAGAAAAAATTATATTTATTAAGTTTGCTAGATTTCTAAGGTCACCTTTAACCCTAAAATCATTCAACTATTGGTTTAAAGTATCAAGCAACGATAAACTATTCAAGAAAATAAAATTCTTTCTGTGCTTATTCCTTAAAGATGATAAAGAGATATATTTCGTTAGCGAAATAACGACACCTGACGTTGCAAATAAATTCTTTTGCTATTTTTTAACAAAACGGACGTTAAAATAATGCAAACAATATTAGAAATATATTATAATATTGTAAACGATGTTATAAAATATTATAAATTACTCATTTTAATAAATTTTGAATAATTTATACAACTCTTAACTTTACCTCAAGTTCAGTAAAATGAGTATTTTATGATATTCTATAAAAATATTAAAAACTCGAATAATTTATAAAATTATAAGTTATATCTCACTCCTCGCTAGCTGTTATCATTAATAAAAAAATTTCTAATTGAATCGAAAATTGATAATAACCTTAATTTCATCAGTTTTCAAATTGTTACGTTAACATTTTGTCTACCCCAAGCCTATTAATCGGCTTTTCGATTGCAAATGCTTAACAATCAGTAATATATGAAAATTACGCTAGTTTAACCCAAAAGAAGTCAGAACAACGATTTCCTTATATTTTGATTTTAAAGTTACAAAGCTATTCAAGTGAAAACGTACATTTCTATGTGATGATAAAAATCATATTGGTATTTAGTTTCATAGTGAGTGTTTACTTTAATCTGAAGCGATAGATAAAGTGTTAACACATTGTTGACCGGCAATTTTACGCAAAAGCTATCCCATGTCACCGGTTATTATTCCGTAATTAAATATGAAAGTGAAACAACCTAAATAAATTGCAATATATTTTATTCATACATGATGAATTAAAATGAATCTTTGGACATATGTTTTATATAACTTTTAATATATTATTTTTGCAATATTTTACAGTGCCCTGCGTTTCAAAACTTGAAATAACTAATGCAAATGCAAACACGAGTTAACTCATGACTAGTCAACAATGTGCTAAGAAGTACGGAAAACTTACCTCCATTTTGTTCGTCTATTCTGAAACCAGGTCTTCACTTGAGCGTCAGTCATCTTCAAGGATTTAGCCAGAGCTGCTCTCTCAGCAGATGCCAAGTATTTCTGTTTGTGGAAACGTTTCTCAAGCTCGGCGATTTGCAATCTGGTGAAGCTTGTCCTTGGCTTCTTTCTCTTTGGTGGTGTCCTGTTTTGGTAGGGATGACCGATCCTCCTTGGAAATGCGCCGGCTACTGTTACAAAAGATTGATAGAGTTAACAGATTATGTTAAATATTACGTTAAATATAACTTTTTATTTTTAGTGTTTCAAACGTTCGAATGGAACGTAATCAAAATTTGGTCAAGTTATTACCAAAATTTGAAATCTTATCTTTTTTTATTTATTTTTTAAAAAACTTTCTAAATAACAAATTTAAAGAAATCGTTTATTTATGAATGAGAATATTCTGTGATTACTTATTCTTCTTCTTCATCTTTATCGAAGTATTATAAACATAAAGGAATAGTCAATAAACAAATGAGTGATATAATCTTATTAAAGTGTAAAGCTACCAAATATTTCATATATCATGTTGTTATTTCAGATGCAATAAATTAACTATCTAACTAAACTATCCATTAAGCTTCATTGTTTAACTTTCAATTAATCTTTTTAGTTTATATTGACGATATTGACATAGCCTAAACAGGTAGACATTCGAAGCATTAATCATATAAGCAAACAAGTAATATGTAACTTAAAAATGACAGTAACGAACACACAAGAAATTAAAAAGAATATGAAAAAAAGTAAAAAATTTGAAATAAAACAACTGTTTATATAATTACGAGATGAATCAGAATAATTATAATACAAATGACCGCCATTTGGTCATGTATAAAAGAAACGTACGAAATTACAAAAATAAGAGTGCAACGTTTGACTAATCGACAGAAATATTATTATCCATCCTTTAATAGTGTATGAAATTGTCAAAATTCTTCGTAACAAGTTTAAAGCTGACTGTTCAATTGTAATCAAATCTCTTGGTAATTTTCCGATTAATAATAACAGCGACAACACTTCGCTAAAATGATGTTATTGATTGTTTGTGTTCCAAGTTACAGAATTATTGATGCTTCGCTATGGAAGATGCAGTATTGGATACTTGTGCGAGGAGCCTAATATAAATGGCGCGTGAATAAAATAGAGCTTTTATTAGTTTTATGTCAATAATTTCCACTGCTCCGTGTCTCGTTCCTGTCGTGTTTTTTCCTTATTAAACGTTGATTGTTTCACAAAAATTTTCGATGGAACCCAAGAATCTCGGGTAAATGCAGTCACACATGAAGTTGTTAAAGAATAATTATGTGTAAATGTACAAGTATCAAACATTTTCTATTATTATAACAAGTATATATTGTTACTAATTCATATTGTTGTATTGTTTTGGTGAACCATTTTTATTATCGCTATTACTTTGTTACCAATTTACACAAACTGGATTTAAAGAAAAGTGTAAAAAAATAAAAACTTTGTTAAATTTTCTACAATAGATTGGCATGGTGATATATCCTATGTCACAAAAAAATTCAATTCCTATAAGTATGTAATATAATATGAACAGAATTAATATCTTTGTATTAGAACTTTCTACTTGCCATTTAAACATGTTTCCTTGTTGCTTATACTTTCTCTTCTTGCAAATGTGAAGTGATTACACACATCACTGCTGAAGTTTGAGATCACATTTATTCGGTCAGAAGAAAATCTAGATCTTTTAATAAAGGTATTTCTTAATGTTTAATCTTTTATATTTAAAATTAATTCATGTAGCTGTAACAAGTTTATGATTATTAATCTATATTTATTTAAAATGATTGTTTCAGCCTATTTTATATTGCTATGTTTGAATTATTTTTCAATTTTCCTAATGAAGATCTCAACGTAGAAAGTTGATTTCTTGTTAAGGAAATGAACTATTATGATCATTATAACGCAATAAACCAATTTTAAATGGAACATCTATAACACGCAAAATCGGTCGAGACATATGAATTAGACAGAAAACAATAAAGCAAATATTGTTGCTAATAAAAAAGTTCTACTAAATATAATTTCTGAATCTTTTTCTATGAATCATGAGGATCCGAAGTTAATTTATTTTTATTATTGCCTTGTTTTCGAATAACTGATCTTTATTCAAATTAATATAGCTTAAAATTAACCCCAAGAAAATTATTCTATTGTTTGAAAATTCCTTTAAATGACTCACTATCAAAATGGCAAATGGAAAAAGTAAAATATTCTACTCACAATTAAAGAACTACACATAATTAAAATTAAATCAGCAACTCAAATAAATTACTCACTATTCACTGTTTGAAATATTTCACCCAGGACAGCGACAGTAAACGCTACATCCAGCTCCACAGCGTTAATTTCCACGGAACTTTTTACCAAAGGCTAAATTCACCGAAGTGACAAAATCTTCGAAGCGAACGGGTTCGAGAAGGAATGCCCAGAGGCAGGCGGCGGCGCGCGGCTAACTGTCGTAGAAATGGGGATGAGGATCGAGGCAAAACAATCGGGCGAAATTCCAGAATAAAATGGCGATGTTGAAAATTATGTGCACGGCGCGACGGCGGCGGTACGCGGGGGATTACTTACGATATCGTGTGCCGTGGGCAGAGCTCGCTTTGGGAAATGATTATGAAACCGTAAAAGCGAGCTTACGAGTTACACGGAACGATTTACTCGGGCCGGTGCAAATTGTAACGCCGTCTTTGTAGTCGGCAGCCGGGCAGGTGCATTGCGATTTCAGTGGAAAGAGTATTAATAAAATTACCGTTAGTCAGATAGGATCGTGCCACCGCCATTACCGGACAGTGGGGAAGCCCGCGTGATCAAAACGAAGCTTTATCGGCCACTTATGCGAAACTAGACGCGTAAATCGCGGTTAAAACTCGTTCGAGATTTTCTTATCGGGATGCCGTTCATCCTGGGCAATTATTGTACACGCTGTTAGATTGGGAACGGGCCCGCAATACGATTTGCGACCGCGGAGACTGTCGTTCGCCGGGAGTGAATATTGGATCGGTGCTCACCGAACGGCCGATCACCTGTGCGCTAATGTTTCCGTTGTTTTTTTCTTTTTTTCTCGACGATACGTTAAGGTATTTAACCTTCTATGGCATTCTGTTCCCAGTCGGAAACTTATTTTCGATTTTGATTTTTGTTAGAGGCGACGGATCAAATATTTTATTTCGTAATGGTTTTTACAAGACGTTTCTAAGTAAACAGTAATATCAATTGTTTGATACTCTATCTCTCGCATAAAAATATAACTCTTAGCCTCTTTCACAATTTTGATTAATTTACATTTTTTTAGTTCATACTTGTATATTGAAGTCTCCATACGTGGGCAGTTATAAAATGCAATAAATAATATTGTTTATTAATATTTTCTTATTTATTTCATTACCACGGAAACATTTGAATGTTAAAATTTAAACATATTAAATACGACATATATTTTGTTTTTTCATTTATAGTTTCTTTGAACATCCCGTGTATTTTTAACGTGGAATATTTGAATGTTTCTTTTTCCGTCTCATTTCGTACGTCAGGTATGAATAAATATTTGTATAACTTGCTGACCAATTATTCTCATTAAATTAGCGAAGTTGGTAGTAAAGATTTATTTGCTTCGAACTTCCTCGTTCGAAACGAAAGTTTCATTTGCAGCAAACCAATATTGCAGTTTCTGTTCCATTTGCGACCGACTTTCCGTGCTGTAGTGCAAATTAGGCCATTAAATATCGAACACTGGTGACGGTCAGATTGTTTGAATGTAATTTCTTCCGGAAAACGACACTTGAAATAACTGGAAAGATTATTCGTGGAATCCGACGATTTCGTGAAACTAGTTTTCATGGAATTAGGCTAAACAATGCCTGAAATAATTTTGTGAAAATAAATTTTGAACTTTGTAATATTATATTTCA